TTCCCTCCCTCACTCCCTCCCTCCCTCACCCCTTCCCTCCCTCCCTCATTCACTCCCTTATTCACTCACGCAGTGCTCATTCACTCATTCACTCCCTCACTTACTCACTCCCTCATTCCTTTACTCACTCCATTCACTCCCTCATTCCCTCCCTCCCTCCCTCACTCATTCACTCATGCAATGCTCACTCACTCATTCACTCCCTCATTCATTTACTCCTTCATTCAGTCACTCATTCATTTACTTATGCACTCACACAGTGCTCATTCACTCCCTCCCTCTCTCATTCAGTCCTTCCTTCATTCGCTCCTTCATTCCTTCACTTGTGCACACGCTCATCCACTTCCTCATTCAGTCACGCTCGCGTGTTCACTCATGGGCTGACTCACTCATATACTCATTCATTCACCTGTTCTTTTTCTCACTCCCACCCTCATTCATTCATTCACGTGCTCCCTCACTCACTCCGTCATTCACTTACTCATTCATCACTTGCTCATTTACCTACTAACTCATTCATTCTCTTACTCATTCACTCATTCCCTTGCTCACTCACTCATCACTCACTCAGCAAACATTGCAAAAGACTTGAAGGCTCATCCCTAAGACATATTCTTTAACAGAAAATGAGCTGACTCAGTAAACCTAGTGAGACTGGGAGGTGGGAAGGCAGGTCAGAATCATGACGTAGGGAGTGTCTCGTGTCTGGGGGACTGGGGTCGTGCTGGCTCCTGATTCCCCAGTTCTCCTGGAGCCCTGGGAGCTCAGCCTTACTGTTTGTAGCCAGTTGGTAATGAAGCCAAGTGGATTGTTAGACTGTAGGTCAGGTGTTGTGACCTTGAGTGAAGCGCCCCTGAGACAAGCTGGTGGGGGTCTCAGGTCCCCATGGCACCTGTGCTTGGACAGTCGAGTAGAGGGGAGGAGAGGGGAGGAGAGGAGCCTTCCCTGTACTTAAAGTCTCTCCCAGAAGTCTACTTAGCGCTTCTTCTCTTTACCGTGGCCAGAATTTAGTGACACTGCAATACCTGGCTGCTGGAGAGGTGTGGGGATGGGATGCGGGGGCATCCCAAGGGATGCTGCCCTTGGCCTGACCCCACACGCCCACCTCAAGGGTTGCTCGCGCTGCTCTGGGGCCCGACCCTGCATGCCCACCTCGGAGGGGTTACCACACTACCCTGGGGCCTGACCCTGCACGCCCACCTCGGAGGGGTTACCGCACTACCCTGGGGCCCGACCCTGCACGCCCACCTCGGAGGGGTTACCCCACTGCCCTGGGGCCCGACCCCAGG